AGCAGCAGCCACTTCTCGGGTGTATAGGCAGCTGCACGGAGCTGCCTATACACCCCATTTTTAATAGAGGTTATATATATCCTCTGCTCTTCCTGCATTTTATATTTATTTATTTATTTATTTATTTATTTGGCCTTTTTTCTTTTTTTATTTATTATTTTAGTTTTCTCCTCAAAGAAGAGAAAATTAAACAAACATAAAATCAAGGCCTGCAGGAATTTCGAGGGTTTAGGGTTTAGGGTTTGGGATTAGGGTTTAGGGTTTAGGGTTTAGGGTTTACAGTAGTAGCATTTCTCCCCACTATATATAATACTAACCCCTGCTGCAGCTAGCTAGCTAAGCAGCCCCAGCTAGCTAGCCACCATGCCGCAGCTAGCCATCAATTATACAGTATGCAGCAGCTAGCTAGCCACCAAGCCTCAGCTAGCTAGCTAGCCACGAACCCGCAGCTAGCTAGCCACCAGGCCGCAGCTAGCTAGCAACAAAGCCTCAGCTAGCTAGCCACCAAGTCTCAGCTAGCTAGCTAGCCACCAAGACTCAGCTAGCTAGCTAGCCACCAAGACTCAGCTAGCTAGCTAGCCACAAAGACTCAGCTAGCTAGCTAGCCACGATGTCGCAGNCACCAAGACTCAGCTAGCTAGCTAGCCACAAAGACTCAGCTAGCTAGCTAGCCACGATGTCGCAGCTAGCTAGCTAGCCACAAAACCTCAGCTAGCTATAAATTCAATCCTAGGTAGCAGTTGCTGCTCGCCTGCGTCCACCAAAGAAGACAAATATTAAAGGAGACAAACACCCTAAACCCTAAACCCTAAATTAGGGTTTAGGGTTTAGGGTTTAGGGTTTATAGGTTTAGTGATGCAGCAGATAAATATGCCGCTGGTTTGGCCCTCCTCAGCAGGAAAGCGGCAGCTACAAGGCCTTGGAATCCCCCTGCTGCTGCTGCTGCTGCTGCTGCTGCTACTACTACTACTACTACTACTACTACTACTACTACAGCTGCTGCTGCTGCTGCTGCTGCTCCAGCAGCTGGGGTGTCTAGGCAGCTCCTGCATCTCTTCTAGCTGTGACGGCCTCGCCGGCCAAACTGCGTGGCTCTCTAAAAACTCAAAAGCATCACCAAACCCTCGGCAGGGGGCCCCCCTCACAGGGCATACACACGGGGGGGCCCCCCCAGCCTCCTTGGGGGCCCCCCCCTGTTGGGGGCCCCCCCCCGGGGGGCCCCCCCTCCCTCTGCTTCCTCCTCGGGGGGGGGCCCCCTGGGGGCCCCCTCTGTGTCTGTAGTTTGGTGGGGGCCCCCATGTGAGCTGGTTTGGTTGTTTAAGCTGTGAGAGAGAAAGGGGGGGCCCCCG